GCCACGGAGGGGTCGTACGAGTAAGCTTGCTTTACTCGACCCCTCCAGTGTTGCCTCTGTATTGCACTGCAGCAGAGTGCAACGCAGCCCATAAAAAAAAAAAAAAAAATTGCAGAGTTGTGGAGTCATCCTTCTGAGCGCAAAAAATTGCATTTCCCGTTGGCAACATGTGCCAGAATGGGAAAAATGTAAAATACGACGAAACAGCGCGACATTCATTTCACGGTCTAAATTGTTTTTTTTCATTTTTTTGATATTTTTTTCGGAAAGTTCACAACCTAATCTATAGGATTTCAATTTTTCATATTTTTTCTTTAATTCTTTTGAGCGCAAAAAATCGCCAAATTTTACACTTCAAAATTGCAGGACTGGACCCACCTGCCACATTGTGCAACGTTAGGGTTTGGGCACACAGACACATGCTGACCTGCCAGCTGCCTGACGTCGAATACACTTAAAAAAAAAGACAGTCCCCCAAAACACACAGGAACCCAGTCGACCTGAGTGGTTATCAGATCAGATAGTTGCGTATCTCAAATCTATGCGTAGGTCCAAACCCTCACGACAACCATTGACATCGAACTTCAAAATATTAATATTAGTGTGTGTGTGTGTGTGTGTGTGTGTGTGTGTGTGGGTGCGTGGGGGTGACTGGCTGGCTGGCTGGGTGCATGCATGCGTGGGTGAGTTGCTGGTGGGTGTTGCACGTCATCACTTATTTTCCTTTCTTTTCCCGCGCAACAGTCGACGACGGACTGCTTGCAACAGGGGGCAAAAAGAAAAAAAAAAACAAGCACAACGACAGACTACCCGTGCCACGAAAACGAAAAACAAAAAAAATGAAAACCAAACCGTTTATCAACGACAGCCGCTTCAAGATATTCCCTCACATCTACACCCAGCCCCATGGGAGCGCACTCTCGTTTCCTGGCGTGCTGTGAACAATTTGGTACGCGCACCGCTCTGCAACCCCCCCCGTCCTCGATCGCCTTCATCCGCCGGCCCTCGCCAAAAGTTCGACCGGATTCAGGAGCATAGCGGACCACCGACCTTCCCCCCCGACCAATGCTCCTTAAACCACCAGTACCTGGCCCATACATCGGTCGCGGGGCTTTCCTGTATACCCGCGGGGGTCGGCCACGCAAACGACCGGTCAGCCCTACGAGCCCGGGCAACGCAGATTTCGGGACGTCACACCCACAGAAAAAAAAAAAAAAAAGGAAACGTAAAAACAGAAAAAAAATAAACTGTTCTTTTTTTCTTTTGCCGAGAGAGAGAGAGAGAGAGAGAGAGAAGTGCAAACAGGGGAATGAATCATCCCGCTATTGCGGGAAGATTCGTTCCCCCGTGCGCGTGCGCGCGCGCGCGCGCGCGCGCGCGCGCGCGAGAGAGAGAGAGAGAGAGAGAGAGAGAGAGAGAGAGAGAGAGAGAGAGAGAGAGAGAG